CTAGGGTGGTCCGAAAATACAAATTTCTACTTTTCCAAGGGGCTTCTTCAGATTTTTGTTCCATTTGGGGAAAAAATAAATGGGGTGAAATTTCATAAGATTTGAAAAATATTAACCACTGCCGCTCAACCCCTGTTTTTGTGCCATGTGAGTGAAATTTTGAGATCTGATTCTGTCATTGCCAAGGCCACCAGCAAGACATTAGTCAGAAATCTTTGGTCTCTGAGTAAAGAACTGGCCAGACTTGTCATATTTGACAGCAGCATTGCACATGATGATCGTAGCTGTTCTCAAGGAGGAAGGTCACAATGATCCTCAGTCATGTGCAACAGTGGATCTAGAAGCAAATTAAGCTATTGTTAACAAAACTGTGGCAGATTTGGTTGCATCTGCCTCAAGTCCCATTTTGAGGCACTCAGCATCAACATGAACTACCTTGTCAAGGACCCATCAGAATGGGAGGATTACCCATCATTCTAGTCATGGCAGGTTCTGTGTAGCATTAGGATGTAAGTGACTAATGATTAGGATGTCAATGACTTTAATAAAAAAGGAACTCATCCAGGATTACAATCAAATGATCAGCAGTGGCAATACATGCTGCAAGTTGTTGGGTGGCATTGATGTCAGTTCCTGGAAGTGAAGAAAGTCTTGACCAAATGCCACTCTTCACGACTGTTTTTTCTCACCAAATATGTGAATAATGACACTTATTTATTTTATTTTTGTCTTGCAAGCCCATCCATCCATTAGCTTCTTTCTTTCAGGTTCATGGTGCCCACAACACTGGTCAAAAATCCATCATAGGGCCACATAGACAATTTAGAGTTACCAATTTTGTTTTTGGAAGGAAGCCAGAGTACCTGGAGAAAACCCACGCACGCAAGGAGAGAACATGCAAACTCTACCCAGAGGGTTCCCCGGGCCAGGATTCGATCTAGCGACCTTCTTGCTGAGAGGCATCTGCTCTACTAACTGAGCCACTATGCTGCCACTTTGTTTCAGCATGTTGGCATGAACAAAGCTCAACCATTCTAATTTTCACCCCACATGTGGCAGTGGTTAGAAAAGTTATATTGACACAAAATTTGGTATAAAAGATTTTCTTTGCAAAAGGAACAATTTTGTCAGGAAGCACCTTAAAAAATTCACATTTTAATTTTTGGCATACTGTAGAGGACCACCCTAGTGATGCACTAATGTATACGTATATGGATCACGATAAATTGTTTCAAATTAGCTTTCTCTGTAACACGGCTGGTCTCAGCTTACAGATGGGGTGATGCACTCCATCATCGAGGTAAAGCTGCGGTTTCTCCGCATCGAAATGAGTCAGTTGAGATGGTTCTGGAATCTGATCAGGATGCCTTCTGGGTGCTTCCTCTGAGGTTTTCTGGGCATGCTCCTTAAAGGGAGACCTCAGAGCAACCCTAGAACTCTCTGGAGGTATCATCTCAGGTCTGAGAATATCTTGAGATCCCCAGGAGGAGGTGGAGTTTGTCCAATGCAAGTTTCCCTCTTTTGTGACCGAATGAATTAGCAGTAAAAGATGATAGATTCAATATTTTTTGTCAAGTATTTGTTATTATTTCAAGACAAAACTCATTTGCTGATGATGCTATTCTCCAAGTAAGGATGAAAGTTTTAACATTGTGCAGATTGTGTAGGCCTTTGTTTGTTGTACTGTTGGGATAAACTGTATTGTCCAAACTAAGGCACTTTATGTCTTCTATTGTCTCTTTGAAGTCTTCACTATCTATAGAAAAATTATTGGATTTGTCTTTGCAAAAATGGAGATAAACTCGACCAACTGGTAGAGAAATGGTGACTCGAGTGCTCCACCTTAAAGTGGTCAACATGACTCATCATTTTTATAAATAAACAGTTTCATCGTGATTGTTGATTGTTTTGGTAGTCTAGTGTTTAGATTAGGGAAGTAAACTTAATTTTCACCTTTCCTGTAAAGACTGAAAATGTCTTGAGCAACAAAGGTTTAGAGATCTTAAAATACTGATAGAGAAGTGATGTATCCAGATGAAAATGGGTCAATCTGAGATATTTAAAGTTTGTTCACCCTACTACTTTTTATTCATTTATTTCATTACATTTCTACATCCATTCTATTTATTTACCTGCAACCTTCTTGGTGTGAGGCAGCAGCACTAACCACTGCTCCACCACGCAGACATGCCTTTATGATAACCATTTTAAATGGTGAACTTAACTCTTGCATTACATTTCAGGGAGTTGTTTAGCTTTTAAATTGTATTTTAGACTTTGTGCTTCTAATAATCCAAAAAATGAACAATAGATAAAAACGAGAACAATGGGCCTCATGCAAGAACCGTTCGTATGCACAGATTTGTTCTTAAATTGTGCGTACGAGTGATTTAGGAGAATTTGTGGC